CAACATAAGATTTTTGGCCTAAAGTAAGTTTGTTCTGTGAATATTCAAAACTTATTCCAAGAAATTCATTTGCAACTTCAGCCTTGGACATCTCAAATTCATTTCTAAGTAATTCAATCACAATTTTTACCTCTGAATCATTAGAACCAGCAATTAGCAAGTCATCCACATACAGCACAATAAATATTTCACTCTGTTTAGTTCTTCTTCTTACAAAAGTACATGCTTCACAGTTAAGTTGTTGGAAGTTTAACAGAATTATAAAATCAGTAAATCTCTTGAACCACTGCCTCGGTGCTTGCTTAAGTCCATAAAGACTCTTAAGAAGCTTGCACACACGACCACTGTTGTCACTGTAGCCCATTGGTTGTTCCATGTAGATTGTTTCTTGGAGATCACCATTCAGAAATGCAGTCTTTACATCTAATGCATAGATTTCAAGATTCTTTTGAACAATGATAGCCAGCACAAGTCGAAGTGATGATGTACTAATTACAGGAGCATAGGTCTCAAAGTAATCAATACCTGGCTTCTTCTTCTGTCAAAGCCACGAGCAACCAATCTAGCTTTGTAAACATTGTTTCGTTTGATGCGCAACACCCCCATTTACAGGATATTGGCTTTTCATCCTTTGGCAAGTTGACTAACTCCCACACTTTATTTTTATTAAGAGAAGCTATTTCCTCATCCATGGCTTTCCTCCATAGGACTTGCTCTTCTTTTGGGCAATGATGTTATATCCTCATATGTTACTGTATCAAGAGTTGCCACATTAGCTTCATACACAAAGTAATCATTCAACTTTACAGGTAATTTTATATTTCTTCTTTGCCTAGTAATTTCTTCATGACTTTCTTCAAGATTTCTGGATTCTACATCACTTGAATCATATACTACTACTTCATCTTTAGCAGGATCTTTACTTTCTATGGAAAAATCATCTTGAACTGAGATACATTTCTTTTTCTCTTAAACAACACATTTCGAGAAACCACAACATGATTTGTGACTGGGTCCAGTAAACGATAACCCATGGTAGAGTATCCAATAAAAATCATCTTTTTTGATTTTGGATCCAATTTCTTTCTTAAGTTATCAGGAACTCTCATGTATGCATCAGATCCAAACACCTTAATAATATTCAAATCAGGCAGATTCCCATATTTGAGCTTATAAGGTACATTTTCAACAGTCTGATTTGGAATCTATTCTTAAGATATGCAGCTGTCTGTACAGCATATTTGCGATCCTTCAAAATGCTCTTAGAAAGCATTTTCTAAATTCCTTCTTTCTAAGCAATTTGGTGATTAAGATGTCTGTTGGCTCTCTCAGCCACACCATTTAAAGGAGGTGTACATTGTATAATATAGAGTGGAGGAGAGATTTTATTAAAATTATGGCTCTTCTGCGACGTTCGTGAAGGAAAAAGGCCATGCCACTTGAAAATATGGCAGTTCTTTCCGTCTGGCTGTCAGCTGAAAGTCATCTTTCGGGCGACAAATTAAAAGTACAAGTCAAATATTAGTACGAAAGAAATTATCGACTCTGAAGAAACGCCGAGATTGCAGTATGCAGTCACATATTAACGAACTGTTGGCTATCGTAAACGAACTGCGGCTTTCGGGTGCTGAAGTCGAAGATATGGATGTGATTATTTATTTGTTAATGTCGCTACCTTCTGATTACGACATTATTAAATCGACGATTGAGAACCAGCCAAATGAAATGCTTACGCTGGACTTTGTTATGCAAAGGCTCTTGAATGCTGAAGAATTGCAAGGTGAGAGAAATTCTTACGATTCTCGTGTTTCTGGCTCAAGTAATAACGTAGCTTTTAGCGCTGATAAGCGTGATATCATCTGCCACAAATGTAAAAGTAAAGGTCATATTGCCAGGCTTTGCAAGAAAAAATTAGTTTGTTTTGGATGTGGACGCCCAGGGCATTACAAGAAGGATTGCAGATTTAAGCATAAATCAGATTATAGAGAATTGGCTGCAGTAACATTCATGGTTGGTGAGCCTGTTGGAAATTTCATTCTGGATTCTGGAGCATCTACACACATGTGTAATAAAGGTGAGTGGTTTGAAGAAATTAAACCTTTTTCTGGAACTGTTGCATGTGCTTCAAAAAATGATGTTTTAAAGGTAGAAGGTATTGGTACAGTACCTGGAACATTAAATGGAAGAGAAATATTACTTAAAGATGTGTTATATGTGCCTGAGTTGAACGGTTAATTAATATCTGTGAAGAATATTCAAAAAGCAGGTTACAGTGTAATTTTTTTTTAAGAATGATGTAGCTGTTATTGAAAAGAGGAATGAAAAATTTAAGTTTGCTAAACTCAATGAGAAAGGACAGTATGTGAGTCAATTTGAACCTGTTAAAGCTTCAACATACATTGCAAATCATAGTGCAGAATTATGGCACAGGCGCATGGGGCACTCATCTGATAAAATATTAAAAGAAATGGGTTTGCCAGTATCTGAGTCACCTTCAAGCTTTTGTGAAGAGTGCATATTAGCAAAACATTCCAACACTCCTATGAACAAGGGTCCTAGAAGCAGAGAGCATGTGCCGATGAGAATGGTACACATTGACATATGTGGTCCCATTGATCCACCCACTAGAGAAGGTGAAAAGTATTTTGCTACAATCATAGACGATTTTTCTAGATTTACTGAAGTGCATCTCTTAAAGCACAAGAGTGCATAATGATGAAGTGTTTTAAATTGTTCCTAAAGCAGAATCCTGATGTCTCTACAAAATTCGGTGTTATAATGCCAAGGAATACGTGTCTGGTGAACTAGCTCGTCATTGCAAGAAAAATGGTGTTATGATAGATCCTGCTCCTCCATATTCACCTCCTTTAAATGGTGTGGCTGAGAGAGCCAACAGATATCTTTTAGAGAAGGCCCAAACTCTAATATGTGAAGCAAAGCTTTTTAAATCCTTCTGGGGCTATGCTGTACAGACAGCTGCATATCTTAAGAATAGAATTCCAAATCAGACTGTTGAAAATGTACCTTATAAGCTCAAATATGGGAAGCCGCCTGATTTGAATATTATTAAGGTGTTTGGATCTGATGCATACATGAGAGTTCCTGATAACTTAAGAAAGAAATTGGATCCAAAATCAAAAAAGATGATTTTTATTGGATACTCTACCATGGGTTATCGTTTACTGGACCCAGTCACAAATCATGTTGTGGTTTCTCGAAATGTGTTGTTTAATGAAGAGAAAAAGAAATGTATCTCAGTTCAAGATGATTTTTCCATAGAAAGTAAAGATCCTGCTAAAGATGAAGTAGTATATGATTACTACTGATGCAGAAATTTTGGCTTTAGCAAAAGCTATTCAAGACCTAACTGTATTTTATAATGTATCTAAAGAAATTTTAGGAGTCGACAATATTAAAGTTTCAGTTTATGAGGATAATCAGTCTGTAATTAAAGCAATATTGAAGGAAAGTAATTGTGCTAGACTAAAACATTTGGATATTAAATTAAAGTATATTAGGGATATTGTAAAATTGTACGATATAAATCTCGTATATGTTTCTAGTGAAAATCAGTTAGCTGATTTGTTTACAAAATGCTTGCCTAAACCAAGATTATGTTATTTAAGAGATAAATGTAAAATAATATGTGATTAAGGAAGGTTGTTGAGAATAATCACACGTACTCCCCTTTCTTGTTTTAATGTCATGTATTTTATCCGTAACTGTTTTATAGTTTTGCTTAGGTTGATCTGGCAACAGTTGTAGTAGTTCTTGGTCATGGTGTGATATGTAGAAACGTGCTTTGCCATGTGGGCGTGAAATTCCATCTTTTAATAAAGCCTCTACTTAATTATCATCGGCCTCTGATTCACTTTTTTTTAAATCTTTACAAATAAATTTAAAAATAAATGGCCCATAGTAGTTTAGAGGAGAAAGGAAAGGATTTAAAATAAAATAATAATAAAAAAAAGATGGGCCTCGAGAGGAAAAGGAAGAGAGGTAGAAAATATCTTGGTATGGTTATAGCGTCCATTGGTGTGTGTGTATGGAGGCGTCAAAAACCGGAAAAAAAAAACACCTCTGATTAGGAATGTAACGTGAAGTAAACAAATTTAACATAAATTTGGAATATATAGATACCGTAGCATAATTTTGTAAATGAGCATATAAAGGAGATTTAGTTTTGTAACTTATAGGTTATATAATATATCATATAATTTTGAGCACCAATTGGAAGACAAGGCATGCCAATATAAAGAAAATCTTACCGGTAAATACGTATATAAACTGTTTTTCATTTTGAGATCCCCGGTCGTCGTTTGAAGGATAAATTATTATGACTGGTTTCTGAGTTGTTGAAGTTGTTTCAGAACTTTGCATTGCAGCAATCAAGAGCCTGTAAGTAAATCTTTAAAAACAATAATAAAAAATAAAAAACACCCAATTCTAATTATAATGATATCAGCTAGTTGTACCTTGAATGAAGAGCCTAATTGGAGCCCGTGGCCAAAAACTTCTTTGGGGCCCCCTCTGCTTCACTACTTCAGTTATGAACAACCGAACTTTATGGAGGTATTTAAATTTTTATAATAATAATATTTCTATTCGATCTGCCCCCTCTGATGTGGGGCCCCGTAGCAACGGCCCCGTATACCCCTGCCTTAGTCTGGCTCTGATTATATAAAAATGAATATTATGAATATGTAAAGGTCTTGATCCATAGACGGGAATTGGCACAGTTTAGCATACTACATTTAAGTTTCGGTTTCTTTAATGAGTATATCCAAGGCTAACTAATCATTGTAGATGAAACATGACTTTGAAAAAATTTCCACAAATATAAGTAGATCAGAAATTAGTTTCTTATTAATCTGCTAGTCTACTAAAAGCGTTATTCAAATAATCTTTCAGAAAAATATTACGCAAGCTCTCTCTCTATATATTTTTATTTCGATGCTGTTCTGAACTGGAGTGCCGATTAGATTTTCCAGATGTCGCTCATGACGCTTATTTATTGTTCACTGTGTATTTGTGGTAGTACGTATGTAGTGTGATTTTTCTGCTTACAATAGGTGAACCGTAATTTAATACATTTTCATTCATTATTAGTAAAAGTTCATTAATGAACTTTTTACTAATATTTCTGAGACTCTTCAAGACTTGTGTTTAATTAGAACTTTTTGTTTCGTGCCATTGAATGAGTTTCGATTTATTAACATTTTCTAGGAGTTTGTAAATAGGGTGAGTTATTTATGGTCTGATAGTGTTAATTCCTAGTAATTGTTTCAAAGTTTGATAATTTTTTTATTGTTGGTATAAGGTAGTAGTGTTGGTGATACTTTCACACACGCATACATATCTTTTTAGTAAGCTACTTTAGTTTACATTCTTCAACTTACGTAGTCCATTCTTACTATTTAATAATTATTTGTTCTGTTTTCCTTTATTTTTCATATATTTGTACAACTATTAACTGTTGTGTAATATAGTGTCGCGGAAGTTGAGTGAGCGGTATTAAATTTGTGTAATTTTTTAGCAAACGTATGACGGAGTCCTTATAATGCATTTTACTTTTTAGTTCACTGTAGATTAGAATTTTCTTTATTTGTAAATGTTATAACATATATAAAGGATCTTAAGTATGCTATGTTTGATGAGTATAACAAACAGAAAGTATGATTTTCAAATTTTATGTATTATTCAAATTTTATGAATTAAAATTTTTCAGGTATGGTTTTATTAATACAAACAGTTTCTGCTTGCTTTATCATTTGAAGAAAGCTGATCTAATAATAGGTATAAAAGAAGTGAATCAGCTTTAAAAAGGAGACTTGTATTTTGATTTGCTTTAAAGAAACACTAAGAATTTAAAGAAAATATGTTGTAGATTTTTTAAAGTCTTATATTGATGTGAAATGCATAGAGCATATCTTTATAATTATCACCAGTCTTAAGGATGAATTTTGCTTAGATTTAAAAAATAGCATTAACTACCATACCATAACAATGCCCATATGTGGCATTGTATAATTTTATGAAATCTTAATTTGCTGCTGGACCTTTTGTATGTTTCTAAAGGAGAGAATAATTTTAAATTTAATGTCTTTCAGCATTATTTAAATGTATTTTGTTTCATCTTGTCAAATTAGTATTGTTAGTGTAATTAAATAAAATCAAAAAGTTCCCAGTTAAATACTTTTTACAGCATTTCAAATGAATATCCGTAAGATAAATGGGATGTTTTTCGTTAGTGTTTCTAGAATCAGAAATGATTGGCAAAATTTTATAGTTTATTAATTGTGATCAGAAAAATCAAGCTGAATTAATTGACCAGATAGATTCGAGATATGTTTTTCAATAATAGTCTGATTTCATAATTTTTCTGTCTAATAGCTGTTTATAGGCATCCATTTTAGTAAAAACTTGAATTGGCCTTATGAATATGCTGGATTTCAAGGAGAGTAAAATAATAGATTGCCATAACTATGTAAAGGAACACCTGCTGTTCTTTGTAATGTAATGAGCCTTGTTTATTAAAATCAAAGCCTAATAAAGTGGAATATAGACGTATATTAACTACGTTATATCACCATAACATATTAGGAGAATGATATAGGAAAATTTAATTAGAAAATTGAACTTACCATCACTGTTTGATTTATGGAATGAAGTGTATTCATTCAGAAGTAATTTTGTACTGTGTTAGGTAATAAAAGAAAGTAAGTCCTGAAGCTTCTGTGAAAAGGTGAAAATTTTATGATGGCATATGAAGATCAGTTCTTTTTAAAATGTCTTTACTGTATGTTAGGTAATGGATCATGTTAGATAAGAGAAAGATGATGATGAAAGCTATATTGAAGTATCATAAAGTTTATAAAGCAGTTTAGCTTTGATCTTACAGAATTAAGGGTATAAAGGAATAGTTAATATAAAAATATGTAGTTTATATATATAAAGTATAAAAAATTTATAATGTATTGAAACATTTTTACTTTACATTATTATTACACTTGAAAGCAACCTAGTTAAATAATATGCATGTTTACAAGCATAACACTAATGATGATTCAAAAATAAAAATTTTTTTAGCAGAATTTCTATTTGCGTTTTTGTTCAGATTTTATTTACTGTCAGGCATAAAGAATTTCCTGTATAGAATTTTTTGTTTAATGAGTTTTGGGCTTGTATGAATTTTGATGCTTAGACTTTCATATTATACAAGATTTTTTGTATATGTATATTTTTTTTATATATATACTGTTGGTCTGATATGGAGTATTTAGCCTTACGTCAAAAGTGTTTGTATTAATTTTTCATATATTGTTTCTACTTTGTGCGATTAAGAAACTCAAACTGGTTAAGGAATTTTTTGATTTATTAAAAGCTAGTTTAAGCTTAGAAATGCAAAACATTTATCATTCATGAAAATACGAGACGTCTGAATATTGAATGATTCTGTGTAAAATATGCTTTTTATTTGAATTTTCAGTTCTAGAGTATTTTGTTTGAATGCATTCGTAATATGTAATTTGCTATATTTGATATTTCCAGACCTGAGTTCCCTTGAATATTAACCCTTTTTATGTTCATTTATTATGTATTATTGAGGTATTGTTCATTTATTATGTATTTTCAAATGTAAACAACAATTTAAGAAATGTACTATGCAGTAAAGACACGAAATAGCTTTGGACATAAAGCATAACCAAGATAATTTTTATTTGTTGCCTTTGCTATACACAGAAGATAAAAATCTTATATTCTAGTAAATTTTGCCAACATTAAACACATCTGTAGTAGAAGATTGCATGTTTTATTTATGTATTTGATGTATTGTTTGGCATACTCAGGAGTATTGAATGATATACAGTGCACAAGTTTGAAATCAGCAAAATAAATTTCGATGCACATGCAAAGAAGTTAAATAAAATAGCAGGTGATAAAATGACAGAGGTAAAAATTTACTGTTATGGAAAAGGGGAGGGGGAGAATTTTAAACTCTTGATTAACATTCTTTATAAATTTAAAAAAGAGCTTTTCATTTATTATTAATAAATATTTATTTGGCATTATTAATAAAAATGAAGATGAATTTCCTCTGAATGATCCGCAGTGAGTTTGTTTGGAGATTTAAGGTTCAAAATAACTGTTGCAATTTGTTGAGGATTGTTACAAAGTGCATAAATAACATTTGGTATTATTATTGTGTAAAACAAATATGCCAAATTTCAGAACACACCAATATGTAAGTTCATGTATGTCTTGGAAAATTTTGAATAAAAAACTCTAATATTCTGCAGGTATGCCTAGAAACGCATTTAAGTTGATGGTAAAAACTTTGTAGATTAGAGATTTCGAAAAATTTATAAAAACTGTTTAAAAATACATATTAAAAAAATAAACTGAAAAAAAAATGTGCAAATGTTATTTCGATTCAACCTAAATTTTGAATTCTGAAAGAAAGCATCAAGTAAGCTTAAGAAAAAAAGAGATACATATAAATATATCACATTCAATTAACACTGAGGAGCTAAAATTTTGAGACTTAATTTTTTAAAAACTACTTTGGCGATTTATGCGAAACTTGGCACTTCACTTCGGCATAATTTGCAGTTTGGGATCAAAATATGGGGGAGGGGGGGTGTACCGTATTCCAGAAAAAGTCAAAATATGTATGTCAGAACAATGCTATATATAAGTCTAATATATACTTATGTGTAGAAATGCTATATACAGTCAAAAGGTGTTAATTCGGACACCCATAATCCGGACCTCAAAGCTAAAAACTTTCTGCACATGCGCATAGGCGTTTACTTACGCGCACGCGCATATGCGTGTGTGCAAGTGCAGAATACGTTTTCGCGTGCGTATTTAATGTATAACGGACGGTGCAAGCTAAAATTATATAATTATCTATTTCAGTTAATGTTGATGATTGCGTTGTTCTTTAATCTTCGAATTGGATGCGGCTTATTATTTTTTGTAGACTGTAAGAGCAATTTTATAAAAGTAAACTTGAACTTTCGATTATGTCAATTTCTGATTCTAGAGCTTCCAAAGGATCTACAAAACGAAAGTATGTCTCGATGTCCGTCAAACAAAAAGTGGAATTGCTGCAAAAAATGGATAAAGACATGAAGGTGACAGAGAGGTTAGTGAAAACGAAAAAATTTCGATTGACAAGTTAGTCGGTATTCTTGGCACAGCAATTATGGGACTTGTAACTGAACGAGAAATCATGTCTGTTTATAGAATTAAAGAGAAAGTATTATTACATAAAACGAAACAACTTACATTGAAAGAAATGTTTAATAAAGTAAACAAATAAATATTAAGCTTCTTTTTTTGTAAATTTTGATACCCTTTAGATCATAATTGTTCTTTATTTCATAAATTACGGTTTCATATTTTGAATTTTAGAATTTCTGCATGCCATCTCACGATTTAAACTGATGATCTGTAATCCGGAAAAATCGATAATCCGGCATCGCCGAAGTCCCGACAAGTCCGGATTAACGACTTTTGACTGTATAAATCTAATATATACTTATGTGTAGAATTAAGGAAGTTTTCAGATTGCGTTGAATTTCTGATAAAGTAATCGACAGATTGTAATGAAATTTGGCATGAATATACATTTATGATAGAGAAAGTGATTTACCATTCAAAAGTCATTTTATTTATGCATGATTATCAATAAAGTTCATAGTTCGGGGCATCCAAGCTAGTTTCCCTTAGACAGTCCGATAAACCAAACCAAAACAAATCTGGGATGTCCAAAATCCACATCTGATATTGAAGTGAAAGTGAATCTAATATGGAGCATGGTCCCCTCTCACAACCAGATAGGTTACACAGCGTGACGGTGTACTGGACAAGAGGCAGTTGATGTGTCACTATGGCAGTCTATCCCACGCTTGTGCAAGGCAGCTTTCAACTCCAGGATGGTTCTCGTAGAGGAATGGCAAAATGAAGTGCCTTCTGAAGAGCATCCCAGACATGCTCTATAGAGTTCAGGTCAGGAGATATAGCTGGCTAATCCAAGCTGCGAATATCCTCACTTTCCAGGTAATTGTCGACCATTTGAGCTCTATGTGAAAGAGTGTTGGTATCCGTTAACAGGAACCCACAATAAAACTGAAATGTCGAACTTAGGGCTAAGATCTTTTTACAACTCGCAGCAGTCGGGGAGTCTTTGTCAAACACATGCAGTGGTTTTCGGATGTCCAGCACCTGCCCAA